AGAATTACAACCCTTTCATGATCACCAGCTTCAATCTCAAAGTCAAGATACTCCTTCCAATTTTTCAGTTGAGACTTCTCAAGGGGTTTCACATGGAAATATGGCCTTTTAATCTACAGTTATAACATTTTACATTACATTTCATAGACATACCTACTGCAAAATATATACCGTAATTTTCGGGTTATAGGTCGATACTTTTTTTCTCAGAACCGCTGGGGTCGCCCAATATACGAATTCGACCTTTCTAAGGCTCAAGTTTACGAAAAATGCCCCAAAATCAATAAAATTTACGTCAATTTATTTCAAAGCAAATCTGTGCCACTTTCATAACTTTTTTCATTATTTTACGCAGAAAAGTTAATGCCCAGGTAAACAATAAAATCTTTATTCTATATCTTTCTTACAAAATAAATTCCATTAATTATCCGTTGATGACAAAGGAAAACAACATTGCTTCATCTATTAAATAATTCATCAACGTATTATCCATTAACATCATGCGGTATCCATCTTGTGAAGTTAGGAAGTCGCTACCGTTTACTAAAAGTAAAACCGCAACCGTATCAAAATTTAAAATACGGAAAAATTTTCAAGATCACAACTGTAGTGTTTTTACCATTTATTAGTAGCGATAAATTGAAATAGTATATTTAAAAATTTTTTACTGTCTTAAGCAAAGAATCAGCAATAAATACGAGTGACAGAAATATAATTTACATTGAATTACCGGCATGCAAAGATTGGCTTGTAACAGAATTTTAATTGTCTGAAAGATAAAGGGATTTACACTGTGTACACAAAGGTGTAACACCTGTGTTCAGTTGGTTTAAATGCCTGCGGGGCATGATTATAACAAACCCACGTGCCGTATAGGGTATTAGTGTTACACATCATTGAACAAACAAAGCTGTGAAATTCATGTTGACAGTCAAATTGTGAATGTACTCTCAATTAAATTTATAAATTAAACTTATTAGAGTGTTAATATGATTTCAATTCTTTACTGTTGCTTGATATATACATTCAATGGTCATTTGCGTGTTTTAGCGAATCCCTGGAGAAGAAAAATAAAAATGGCGGACATCGAAGTAATTGTCGTCCACCAGTAAATAATGTCTGAATAAAGTTAATAGGAATGTGTCCAAGTTGTTCTGAAATCGGAATTACTATTCTTTGGTCTCAGGTATTTCCCGAATATTATAGCTGTAAAATAATAATGTACTTACGTGTTATTTATGCCTTTGATTTAACAACGGTGTGAAACTAAGGAGGCATTGAACAGGCAAGTTGGAAAAAGATAAGTAGTAACACAATTCAAAGAAGCTTTAGCTACTTTTAAAAAAAAAAAACTTTATTTAAATTCTGTACTCATTAAAATACCTGTTTAATTTCTTGATACGTTTATGTCACGGAATAACCCCGGTAATTCTAGGGGTTTACCTGTTCTGATACGTTGTATTTGCATAAGCATCTTTAGAAAACGGGAAACAAAGCCTCGTCCTTTATAGTAAGTTCGTCCTATCTTAGGATTTTTCAAAAATTAAGGCTGAAAATGAGCCTTTCGACCTATATACCCCATCGACCTATAACCCAAAAATTACGGTATGTAATATTTCCAAATTTTTGTAAATTCTGAAATTTGTATCATCCATAGAAAACATAAAAGTAAAACAGGATAAACTTACAGCTTCCTCAAAATTCCATCTCTTGCTCACTTCATCTTCGGTCTTTTTAAATATTTCTTCTCTTATGCTAATGATTCTGTCCCTGAGCTTTCCTGCTTCATCGTCATCAGTCTAAAACAAAAGAAACTTCAAACTGAAACAGAGTGGTATGGAATCCCAAATTTGAATCAATTGTTATGTTCTATGCTCCAACAAAAATTTATTTCCCTTTTAACAACAGATATTTTTAAAAATACTAATATCTTCTGGCAGAATAACCTTTTTTCTGTACTTTTGAGTTTCGAATTAATTGTAAGTCTGAAGAGCACCCCTTACTTTATCTCCCTCCACTTCCATGCCTGGTGGTGCATCCTCCCCAGGTGGTCCTATCACCCCTGGAGGCCCATCATCCCCGGCAGCCTCCTCCTCTGGATTTAACTCGGACGTCCCCACCACGACCTCCTTCCTGAGCTGGAGAAAGTTGTCCAGGGTAAGGATTTCTTTTGGGTGATGGGACAAGACATGATGTTTAAAACTGAAAGTAAAAAGTCAGGAAATTATGACAAGTTTTACTGATCCAGCTAGTTCTGCAAGCATTCATTTAGCAGGTGAATATCTTTTCGTTAACATTTATGTAACAGGGGTATTATTTCTTGTTAAATGTAACTCAATTTAGAAATAAATGAGCATGATTTTTAACTTGTATGATATTCAGCAGTTTCCTGTGACATGGTACTTTTAGGTACAATTCCAATATGTCATTATTATTAATCTCCTTTCTTCTCTATGCATTTTACAATATATTTCTCAAGCTTAAACGTTTGTTTAGCTACTTTTCAAAATGATGACTGTAGAGCTGTGTTGGGATCTGTAAGACTCTGTCATAGAGGGCTGTTTTACTGATCAGGTTTTCCTCCCAGGATATGTACGTGTCCCAGAGTTTGTCTGATCGGAAATCCTTACCACATGCTGCTACAGCTTTCTCATAGATTCTAAAAATAAAATCACAGCAAATGACATCAATGTCAAATAGATGCTTCTTTTTCGGCTTTAATGATATCCTTTTATTCCTTCATCTAATATTAGTTAATAACACACCCTCTAATTCCTTCCTCTCCATTCTCTAGTTTCCCATACTCTTCTGTGTAGAAGTTTATGTAATGTAACCAAAGTTCTACGCTCAAGGAAATTGCTTGTGTACCTCTCTCAAATACCTGAAAAGTAAAACAGGGGACTTACAAATATCAGATATTTTTGTAAAAGTTAGTTTGAAAGAACAATTTTATTCAATATTGATGCCATAACAAAATGTACTGTTTATCTATCACAGATGCATTATATTTAGAAGCAGGAAGTTTCTCATTCAATCTTAAATACGTCGATGTGCCTAATAATGCATTTCAAATATTGTCTCCCTTTGCAAATGTTGTTTTGTTTCCACATAATGATATCATATAACAATACATTTTTTACGTTTCTTTAGAAATATTACCTCCATTGCCTTCTCTGGTCCTGATTGTTTTTTTTCCATATCAGCATATTTTTTCCAGTAGCCATAACAGTATGGGTAATGCTCAAAGAATGCATCATATGCTTTTCTGGCTTGATCCAGTTTTTTCTACCGGAGTCAAATGAGATAAACATGATATACACTAGAGAGAGTAGTAAATTTTACTCTAGAAGTTACATACCATAGATAGTTTTAATATTTAATAACTTTGTTTTCGTCTTACCTCTTGTTCCACATACTGGAGGAGGTAAGTCCAGCCTGTGAAATCCCCTGGGTTGTCCCTCACAGCTTTCCAGTACTTGTCTAACTCGGAGTTCACTTCCTCACCCTCCACCTCATTACTCTCTACTTCTGAATATTAAAATCCAACAATTTTATTACACAATTGGAACTCATAATCTGAATGACATGAAAGCAATCAATTTTTTTATTTACTTCAGTATAAACCTCATATGTTTTCTACTATTGAATGCATTAATGTTCTTAGTTCATGTAAAAAGAATATGATCTAAAGGTTTGTCATTGTGTGCTTACGAGTTTGTCATTTAGTTTATTTTAGAGCCTTTTCTTCCGACTGTCCTCCTGAACCCTACCCATGTTAGGCATTTTTTTTTCAAGAGTGACACTTATCTATCATTCCTTCTCAGTGAATACAATATAAAATGTTTACAGTTCTTTTACTATGAAGAATTATTGGTCAAACAAATGAGGAAATATGACATTGTGCAACATCACATATAAAATTTTTCTGTACACATTGTTTCCTCCTCACATGTGTATGCAAATCTCTCCCTTACAGTCCAAACGAATTCTGGACTTTTCGGCACCGCGATGTTTCGGCACCGCGACGATTCGGCACCTGCGACGATGTTTCGGCACCGCGACGTTTCGGCACCCCGACGTTTCGGCACCTATCTAAATATTGACTTATATTGTGAGAAAAATTACTTTAACAGCATATAACTTGTGGTTGTATATTACTTTTAGGGAATAGGTCTGTTTGAAATCATCTTTCTGATTAATAGTATAAGTAACTCTTGGAAATCGAGCTGAAAGATAGGATTTTGCAACCAAGTTAGAATGGGTATGTATTACAGGAAAATGGAATAATTTCACGTTTTTTAAACACTGAATGGTTAAATAAACATTTTATTTTCATTCTGGTAATTATTTTATGATAGTTATATTCATAAATATTTATTGAAGCCTCGATCAAGTTATCTACATACATGTACATCACAAGCACTTGTTTTGTTTTTAATTTTTAACCCATCTAGTGTTACACAAAGGTATTATTACTACATATCCTACCATGGGTTATTACATTAATTACAGGGATATTAAATTAGTATTACTTGTGTTTTACAGCTGTTAAAAAAAATGCTCCCCAATTTTTTTTTTTATTTTACTATTCATAACCGTAAATTGACTTGTATTAACTTTTTTTCCGTAAATATAGTCAGAAGTAAGTTTAAGGGGACTGGCAATTTTTTCTATTCAGATTATTTATTTCATTCCAAACAAGGATAGATTATTTATTTTCCCTTCCATTAAAAAAAAAAATTTATTATTTTATAAGAAGTAAAGAGAACACAAACAATTGATATGTGTGTCATATTTAAAACAAATTGATTTAATGCAGATCATCACAAAAAAAGAAACAAATGTATCTGTTTTTTTCTTAACTTCATACTCTCGTCACATTTATAAACATTTACATATAATTATTATGCATATTTAAATTAATAACACTATTACATGTACATTGTATTTGACCTGGCGCTCTATCATACAGATGGTATATAAATATATATATATACAAATATAGATTGATATCAGAATTAAAGGATCATAGTCTAATCACTGGGTCCATACACATTGGCGCAACGCCGCAAAAGCTGACTGGTGGTCATTTCTCCCTCTGAATACTGCTTCCATGCAGCAAACAGCTTTCCATTTACATGTGTTGTCCTTTTCTTGTGGATGCGGACCATCTTCCCTTCCGAGATCAACTTTGCCTGGAGGGGGATCTGTTTTGCCTCTTTGTGTAATTCCACCAACAATAAGTAGAAGGGAACAGGACCTCTTTGAGCAACTCTGCTGTTGAGCCTGTTGTGCCACCCCTCTACATCATTGTTGGTGCGAATAGAGAGCATGAACACACTCCAGTTCCGAACAGGGAAGGTGGGGTTATTCAGCCACTGGCGCCACACGTATTCCATGAGGGAATCGAGCAAGTCCGTCTGTACATGCCGATCTAAATGGTGGAATGTCTCGACTTTGTGCTCTGGTGGCAAGAAAGGGAGGGCGAGCACTTGACGAATAAACTCGTGCACCTCTCCTCTTGTGTTGTAAGCCCTCTATAAAGAAATATTTATTTATTTAATACACATACTGTGCAACATATTCTGTCATTTATAAGCATTTGAAAACATAAAAACTCTTATTATGTCATAATTAAAGAATATTATTAAGAAATGGATATTTTGTGTAAACTGTTTTTCTGCTGTTACAATCACAGGGGACAAAAAGATTATACATATAGTGATTACGTAAAATTAAATACAATGTGTTAATTACAGGCCCTTATGGTTACAATATAATAAAGAAATGCCGTGAGTCTATCCATTAAAGATTTGTTTAAA